GGTGAAAATGTGCGATTTTGATGCATTTTCGGCCTTAAAATGGCCGCTATTCGGCTATCGTTAATCGGATCATGAAAAAAATGCATGTGCATATGTCCCATATAATGTGTGATGTATGAGTGAAGTTTGAACTCAATCGGTCCATGCATGTTCGAGATACAGGTGATCACGGACGCACGGACGCACGGACGCACACAGGGCAAAACATAAGTCCCCGTTTTCGGACTGCGTCCGAACGGGGACTAAAAATTAGTTCATTTTACTGGTGTTTTATCAGGCTTTGTGACAAACCTTAGAATATATAATTCTTTTTCTCCACACTACATCCATGTAGCAAGTAAAATAATACGAGATTATTCATAAAATACCTAGATTCACATCCTAGTGTGTTGTACAACACTACAAAACTGTAGCATACAATGCATGGGCCTGTAAATTTCAGTATTTTTCTATATAATTAATATTTGACTTTTTGCAGCCTTAAAAAAACAAAAAAAAACCTAATAGAGGAACCCAAAGTTGCACTCTCAGTGTTTGTATTTGTGCCTGACAACTCATTTGCATATATCGAATGTCGCTTTGTTCCTCCACACTGCCTGCAGTCTGCTGTTTCAATGTCAGGAGGCATCATGATCAGAATTACCAACACTTATTTTATTGCACATTTCATAAACACGGAAAATTTCGGCTGTAGTAATCAATGAGTTTGGTCCAGGCAGCAGTAAACTGGTTGCAAAGTTTATTGCATCTCACAGTTGTTACTACATGAAATCATACTTTCTGAAGATGTTTATTACAGTAACCATGGAATCTACAATGTGGCATTAGTTAATATGGCGGCAGGGGGTAAAACCACTGGCCAAAGAGATGTACTAATACCCAGGAGAGTAATATTATGATACCGAGGATGAATGATATCCAGTATCTGAACGATATCTGGTGTCAAAGCCAATATCAGCAGTGGCCATAAAAACTTGCATGACATAAAATATACAACTGG